CTCGTCATGGTGTTTGGCAAGTGTTCTGATCGCCGAAGCTATCATACACTGCCTCCATCTCTTCTCTTCGTCGTCATACGATTCTGTACTTTCACCTGAGGCTTCAAGATCTTATTTATTGGCGATTCTTTTTGCAGCTTTGTTGTCTGATTCCCAAGTGAGCGGGGTACTGCTCTGTCACTCGTTCGAGACGCTGGCCCGTTCGCCGGTTCAATCAGGCCGAGCAGACGACGCTTGTCGCTGATCTGCCTTTGTGTTTTCCCCGGGAACTGCGACATCAAGAGCTTGTTAATGTGTCTTTGTCCCGCATACTCTTGGTTTAGTTGGCGCAGTTTCTGCTCCTCTTCCTCTGACCAAATCTTTGACCTGACGCCAGCATTCGTCTTCCTGGGAGCGGCTGCGTCAGCTAACCGCTTCTGGTTTCTGATTGCTGGGTGAGCATGCCGTTCATGCATCGATAGGCCAACTTTGGTAGGGAATGATGAGGAGCAGGCTTCGCACGTATAACCAGTTTCTGCGGGACGACCTAGTGGTCGGCATGATCGAATATGGTTCGAAATTCCCGATGTGGTCGTGCTCTTTCTGTCACAGTGCGGACATTCCCAGTACGTTGTTACTTCTGGGTGCGTCTCAGATACGTGCGTTTTAGCGTCTTTCGCGCTTAGGAAGGACTGCATAACCCTCCCTGCGCGAGCGCATAGCGAGCAATTGTACCTCTCCGCAGGGTGCTTAAATGTGATAGTAGTTAGTGCGGCCTCGCATGGGTCTCCGGAGCCCGAGTCGGTGGGAGACTCAGAGTTTCCAGGAGAACTGCGTTCCGGCCCCTCAGTGGTCTGCCTGACTGTCTCAACTCCACTAGCAATTGTACGTGAAGTCGAGCACTGATAGCGAGAATCTGAACCCACTTCGAGAGCTTCACCAATCATTGTTGAATCGTCTCCAAATACGTTTCGAGCTTCGTCGCTTTCTGCACTCCAACTCGCTCCGTACGCGCTGCTGCCACCACCAATCCGAACGGCAGTTTTTTGGTCAGGTGGTAATCCCGTACAGCGCTTATCCATTGCATATTTCGTTTTCCCGAGACAATCATCCACTCACAGGGTCGGGACGCCCCGCGAGGCTTTCAGGTCGCGCTCTACTGACCTGCCCTTTGAGGACCTTTGACATGGGTGCGCTGGTGTGGTGTGTTCTAGTCCTCAGCGTCTTATGATATAGCAAGTAGCTACCGACGTGCGGGTAGTACCAGCGCCACCCAGCTGCTATTTCAAATCTTGTCCTAATCGCGATCCTTAGGGGATGCGATATCGTCGGACGGCGGATACAGACCGGTAAGGTGTATTCCGCTCGTTCAAATTTTGGTAAAATTACCGGTCTTCTGGTAGCGAACCCTTTATAGAGCAACCGCACTTGCCCATATTGGTCGGTCCGGTTCGCTTGCAGACACTGTTTCCCAGATCTTACCGACCAAGAGTCTGGTGGTCCGCGGTCTAGTGAGCTGTCGAGGCATCCTCCTTCCAGGTTTATTACCTGGAATGTATAGGATTCAACCTGCAGCAGACCTGTGCGGGTTGTTGTTCAATTTAAGGCCCCCCTATACCGAGTGTTCTTAGTATTTAAGGGAAGCCTTCTTCCTTGTCTGAAATTTTTTTTTGCAGCCAAAAAGGCCCCTGGACACTACTAGAGTGACCAAGAGGCCCATATTTTGGTGTTATTTCCGACAAGTGTGGTTTGCCTTCTTTATCTTGTGGGATCCTCTAGGAGAGGTAAACCAATAAGGCCGGTATTCTTAGGGACCAGTCGACTCAACTTGTTCTTTGTCCTCTCCTAGGCGGAGGTGACGAACACGTTTTGTCGTTTTAATCCGGTTTACCCTTGATACCTGGACCCTCTATGGTTGTTTGGTATTGTGCTTTACATCCATATTTGTTTGAAGCCTTTTAGCTGGTCAAACGAGTTCGTTTGTTCTTAGACGATACATCGCTTGTTGGTATCTCACCGACGATTTACCGTAGCAAGTTGGATACGAGTCAATCAGAGCCGACACTGATATCTCGCCCTGCTCGATAAATCTCCCCATGTTAGCAACTTTGGTTTTCTCTAGCTAATGAGACCAGAGCATACTCAAAGAGGCTTCTGAGGATCTGGCCTTTGCCCGCAAGGATCCCATTCGCATCTCTCTTGCTCTGATCGAAAAACGATAGTTCTACGTTTCGGTTATAAGACAACAACTGTCGTCGTCGTCGTATTCTCACTCGGAATGAGGAGAGATGTCGCATAAGAGAGTCATAGTTACTCCCGCCGTTTACCCGCGCTTGCTTGAATTTCTTCACGTTGACATTCAGAGCACTGGGCAGAAATCACATTGAGTCAACACCCGCAGGGGCCATCTCAATGCTTTGTTTTAATTAGACAGTCGGATTCCCCCGGTCCGTGCCAGTTCTGAGCTGACCGTTGAATGGCGGCCGAAGAGGACACCAGAACGCCCTTGCGAGCGCACTCTGGGCCTCGCAGCAAGACGGTTCCGCGGGAGGCCAAGGCACGGTACCGAGTTCGGATCCGCAATCCTACCGCACACGCGCGAACGCATACGACAGAACGTTTCACCTCGCCCAGGCCCGGCACGTCAGCCGCGACCCGCTTCCTCGCCAAGCCCGACACGCCCCGATCCTCAGAGCCAATCCTTATCCCGAAGTTACGGATCCAATTTGCCGACTTCCCTTACCTACATTATTCTATCGACTAGAGGCTCTTCACCTTGGAGACCTGCTGCGGATATGGGTACGAACCGGCGCGACACCTCCACGTGGCCCTCTCCCGAATTTTCAAGGTCCGAGGGGAAGACCAGGACACCGCTGCAACTGCGGTGCTCTTCGCATTCCAAACCATATCTCCCTGCTAGAGGATTCCATGGAACTCGAATGCTTATGCAGAAAAGAAAACTCTTCCCTGGTCTCCCGACGGCGTCTTCGGGTCTTTTTGGGTTACCCCGACGAACTCTCTTGCGAGGGCCCGACTATTGTACGGTTCCGCTGCCGGGTTTCGGAATAGGAACCGAATTCCCTTTCGCCCGACGGGCGTGTTCTTTATATATACACACATACATACATATATTTATAAAACAACGCCACATCAACATCGGCTTTCGCCTAGGGCTTAGGATCGACTGACTCGTGTGCAACGGCTGTTCACACGAAACCCTTCTCCACGTCAGTCCTCCAGGGCCTCGCTGGAGTATTTGCTACTACCACCAAGATCTGCACCGACGGCGGCTCCAGACGGCCTCACGGCCAGCCCTTCTGCGCGCACCGCCGCGACCCTCCTACTCGTCAGAGCTTCATGGCCGATCCGTTTTTACGCGGATCGAGACCGCACATGCCGCTGACGGCCGAGTATAAGCACGACGCTTCAGCGCCATCCATTTTCAGGGCTAGTAACTTCGGCAGGTGAGTTGTTACACACTCCTTGGCGGATTCCGACTTCCATGGCCACCGTCCTGCTGTCTTAAGTTACCAACGCCTTTCATGGTATCCCATAAGCGTCGATTTAGGCGCTTTAACTCGACGTTTGGTTCATCCCACAGCGCCAGTTCTGCTTACCAAAAATGGCCCACTTGGCACTCTGATTCGATTCTCGCAGCTTCATTAGTTCGAGCAAGCCGGAGATCTCACCCATTTAAAGTTTGAGAATAGGTTGAGGTCGTTTCGACCCCAATGCCTCTAATCATTCGCTTTACCGGATGAAACTCGTCACAGACGAGCGCCAGCTATCCTGAGGGAAACTTCGGAGGGAACCAGCTACTAGATGGTTCGATTAGTCTTTCGCCCCTATACCCAGTTCCGACGATCGATTTGCACGTCAGAATCGCTACGGACCTCCATCAGGGTTTCCCCTGACTTCGTCCTGACCAGGCATAGTTCACCATCTTTCGGGTCCCAGCGTGTACGCTCTTGGTGCGCCTCTTCTCGTAATGAGAACGAGACGCCCCGGGAGTGCGGAGCGGCCGCTTTATAGACGTGCCGCCCATCTTCCCTAAATCCGCGCTAGGCGGATCTTTACTTTCATTGCGCCTTTAGGTTTAGTTATGTCCCAATGACTCGCGCACATGCTAGACTCCTTGGTCCGTGTTTCAAGACGGGTCCTGAAATTACCCAAAGCTATAGCGTCGCAGATCGGCGTTTCAAACGAGGTCTGTCCGAGAAATCCGCACGACCAACAGTCGTCCGGGGACGGAACCGGGCGCTAGGTCCGATCGCCGTCTTAGCATCGAACGTGCTTGTCGTGGGTCGGACGCTAATTGAAGAAGTAGCGGCCTCGCGCCATCTGTATACCGTCGAGCGAGTCGGCCGGAACATCGCGGGTTCGAGCACGAATCGCCGAAACGATCGTACACGGACTCCACCGCGAGCCGTAGACCGACACCCAACGGATCGCGACGTCCTACTAGGGGAAAAGTGCACGCGTTCGACGCCGGATCGAAAAGCGAAAGGCGCGGACGACGCGCGAACGCCGTCCGTCGCGCGACCGCTCATCGCCGACGGCCGAAACGCGAATGAATTTCCCCTTTCGACCTTTCGGGTTTCTCAGGTTTACCCCTGAACGGTTTCACGTACTCTTGAACTCTCTCTTCAAAGTGCTTTTCAACTTTCCCTCACGGTACTTGTTCGCTATCGGTCTCGTGGTCATATTTAGCCTTAGATGGAGTTTACCACCCACTTAGGGCTGCACTCTCAAGCAACCCGACTCTGAGGAGAGATCCTCCCGCGATCGGCAGCGGCCACTACGGGCCTGGCACCCTCTATGGGCTGTGGCCCCGTTCAAGAAGGACTTGGACTCGCCGCGCGACCTCGGGATAAACGGATCCTCCCTAACACCACATTTCCCGGCGCCCGATATCGACCGCGGGATTCGGTGCTGGGCTTTTCCCTGTTCGCTCGCAGCTACTGAGGGAATCCTAGTTAGTTTCTTTTCCTCCGCTTAGTAATATGCTTAAATTCAGCGGG